CTTAGCCTTAGCTCTGGAGCCTGCAAAGTTATTCAGTGAAGCAGGTTGCTTTAACCTAGCAACGAGTAACAATGATGGCAGGTCCATTCCTGTAAATGCAACCATTAAAATACTCTGAAAAATCTTTCACCTCACTGAAATTTGATCATTTCTGACCGCTGCTTGACTATCTGTAAAACTATCTTGGGAATGTTGCATAATAAAATCTGCTGGGCTATTTTCTCAGCTAGTGAAGTTAACAAGGCTTTTCAAAACTAGACTGGTACTGGCAGAGAGTGAATTACTGCAACAAATACAAAGAAGTCAGGCCAAGAACAAAATCACCTGGCTATCACTGAGGTTGTGGCCAAACCTTAGGATGTGCTACGCTGCAGGAGAACAGTACTTCCCAGAGCAAATACATAATTTAAGCAGAGGGTCCAGCTAAGCTCACGACTTCAAGCTGTGCATCTGGGAACCAGCTAGAATACATGCCAGAGGTAAACCTGAGGCAAAGATACACTGACTAACTCCAGTGGTTGTAATGAAAGACCAATGAATCAAAGAAAGAAGTACGGTGAAAGCCAGAGCCACTCTAAAATTTAATTCTAAGCACATAACTTGAAAGTCAGAGCAGGATAAGTCAGATAGATTACTGGGGAATCATTAATGGAGAAACTTATTTAGCTGGATCTAAGTGGAGGTAGAGAATTCTTGTAATGAGCTCTGAGATCGACAGGATGTGGCCTAGATTTATTTCTTTTCCTCCTCTGAAATAACATCCACAGTATTTCAGAAAGGTAGAACATTCTGAAAAGTAAGAGAATGTCCATATATCTAAAGCATAGAGTTTGGATCTTGTGAATATTTGATATATGAGAAAGAAATTTGTTTCTCTCACATCATCAAATCCGGTTTAAATGTCCAAGACATTCATGTATGTATTCAGACTTGTGGCTGTTTACTTTTACCAAACCTTTCAAATTTTGTATCCGTGCAATATTTTGGCCACATCACTATGCTTTGGAATCGGTATACTGTATCATGAAGAACTCATTAAACTTTACTTAAAGAAATGTGTTGGCATTTTCAGAACTAGAAACTTTGGCAGAGCCTTATATCATTTTATACTATATTTAAAAAATACTTTTGCATGAATTTGTAACTATGAAGCCCAGTAAAAAGATTGGATTTGATTTGAAACAGTGCTGCATGCCTTTGGATATCAGATGAATTATTTAAATAGGTTTAGAAGGTAAATGCTAGACTGTCAAACTTGCATAATTATTGCTGAATAATAGAGTAACATCATCTCCACTAAAATAAACACTGTAACAAAATAAAAAGAAAATAAAAATTCACTCAGTGGCCATTTGTAAGTGCCCTTTCACTTGCTAGCCTATATAACAAGCCGGCAATCACATCAGACCACAAAATTCTGATCTTTGGTGGATTCAATAAAAGATTTAAAAGTTGTGAATATTTTATAATTTGCTCCCATTTAAAATGTAACTGGTACATGAATGAGTCTTCATATACTGTTCTCCTCAGTCTTGGCTTATATGATCCTTGTGATGAAAGATCATTCTGTTAGACCAAATATGGAAGAACGTGGGGTATATATCTTCTAAATTAAAAAAAAAAAAAACACTACCCTGGGCCTATTTACCTTTCAAATTCAACAGATTCTTGGCCATCTGTTGCTGATAACATTGATTTTCATTCCTCTTGGCATCATACCTGCTCAAGTCAGTTCATATTAATGTCAGAGATGATGCATAAAGAATAAAAAATGTGGCTGTATTTCAGCTAAGGCTCCAGAGGAAGAAATACAGTATTAAACCAGCAGATACCTGAATTCACCTAAAGATACTTGATCTTGTCTGTGCTACAGGGGCAGCCTTCTAACTCTCCGAAGGTTTAATGGTTGAATCTAGGTAGGAGGGGACAGCAGGTATTTATTTTGAAGGTAAATATGCTATTGCGAATATATTTATTAGTAGCTTGAGGTCCAACAACCAGTATGCCAGTATACAGAGGCCAAGGAAGGCTGTGATGTACTGTGACACACTGCAATGTGACACACTGATTGATCTGTGAGCCTAGTGGAGAAGCCAGTCAATACCAGTAAAATTCATGAAGTGTTTTTTTCCTGCCAGTTTCCCAGACACTCCATTGATGCATACCGGAGAGCTAATGTTGCTAGCCAAGCTGTACGGCAGCATCTGCCACTTCCACGAATCAGTCAGGGACACCGTAATGAAGAAGATGCCGTTTGGTTTTTGCGGCAGATGACAAACTGATCAGTAGTTTCTAAGTAGCCACCATGTTCCTTGCAAACACAAAGAAACGCATGCTCACCTACTATTAGTCTTCATCCTTGCACATAAAACGTGCTGGCCTGGATTACCTGAATATGTGAATTCCTCAATCACAGTCTTATATAGTGGAGTTGACAGAAGACAGGTTGTCTATATTATTTATCCCCCTCCTTTCCACTTCTCTCTGTGCACCAACCTATCAACACTCTCCTGAAATTCAGTTCTTATTTCTTGTCTCAATATGAAATGAAATCCTTTCTATAATACAGTAGGAGCGAAAGCAGCAGAGAAACAAGGCAAATAAATCTAGCACCGATAAGCAACAAATCTCCTCTCTTATTACATCTTTAACTCCTGCCTTACTACTTCTTCCATATCAGTATTGGTTCATTTGGAAATTAAGTCTGGTTTCAGAAAAACTCTCAGTGACTAGGGAAACAGAATCCAGTCCAGTAGTACTAAGTAGCATGGGCTATTTTTTTTCATACTGTGTAAGAACTAATTTAGCCGTATATAACAGCAGAAGAACAAACCATGAGATTATATGATTTTCACAGTGGATGAGAACACTTCATCTCTCCAATAACAAGATGTTTTAGAGGAACTGCATAAAAAGCCCTTGCAACAGCCCTTCCAGGATAAAATAATGGGAGTTTTCACTTCCTGATTCAAATATCACCCTAATATTTCTGTAAAAAACTCCCTGAGTCATCAAGCAGAGACCAGGAAACTGACTGTAGGCCTGGAATTCAAGATTCTCTGTTTCCAGCTCAGTTTTCTAACCTTTGGACCCCCCACATCCCCCAGAAGTTTTCCCTGGTCCCACTTCTGTCAAATATCCATTCATGGAAGGCTAGCTAACACTCTCAAGCATGGAGCTTTGACATGACTTTAAAACCTCCTCCTTACTGCTTCCGTATTTACTTTTACAAATGGATATTGTAATTTTCCCCCAAAGGTCAAATCCCTGAATGAAACTTGTTTAGGCAGTCCCAGGAGACAAGCATGCAGAAGTCTGTATCCTAAGTTGTCTGACAGAGATAAAGAGCAATAAAGTTCCTCTTGACCTGTAAACATGTTACGGAAGATGACTTGTGAGGTAAGCCTCATTTGATGTGGAAAAGGTTGGAACAAACTGAACGTGTTTAAATGACGATTATGGACTTTCAAGGCTCCTACTGAGGTCACAAAATGTTTTTGTAGCAGAATGAAAGGTTGCCATAGACAGAATCATTGCCTAGTTGTTTGCAGTGGATAATTCCAATGGGATGAAATTTCCACCTTTTTTAGGATTTACTTTTGAGGTGCACTCAGTAACTGGCTCGAGGAAGAAAGGTGTAACTGTACATGAACCTGTTTGAACGCAGCTGTCACAAAGTTCACCACATGCTGAGACTCAAGAAACTACCATCACACTGCTGGTCCTCTGTTCTCCTTATCCTTAAAGATATGCCTAGAGCAAGGAGTCACATCCATCTCTCTGTCGGGTGTGGCTAAATCCTGAGCAACATCTAAGGAGGGACGTTCCTGCTCAAATGAGCTACAATCTTCTCTTACCTTATTCTTTCCACCACACTTTCCATTTTCGGTTCTCCACCAAAGAGAAGACAAGAGCAGAAAATATTATTGTCCCTCCACAGCAGCACTGACTTACTCCTCTTTCCCCTGTACATCTCCAGGGCTCTGACAAAAGGAAGAGGCTAAAGGGAGAGGGGAGCTTAAGAAAATTTTGGGGGAAGAACAGTTAGGATAGGAAAGGGATCACCAAATTCACTGTGGGAATCTGTTTGCGGTAGAAGAGCAAGCAAGGAAAATCAGATTGAGGTTCTCACGAGCCTCCAGTTTAGCAGGAGAAAACACAGGCATGTTGCAGAGAGCAAATATAGCATTTGTTGCAATAATCTTAGAAAATCTGCTCTACTGCAGCATGAATATCTGTTCTGTTGTACACTGGTATATACATTTAAAAGCAGCCTAGTTAACTCCAGCCTTTTGCCCTTCACCTTGATAAATAAGCTGGTGCTGTACAGCTTACAGGTCAACTTTTTCAGACTTTCAGGGGATGTTAGTACAATCAGTGCGGAATTTGTTTCACTAACTTTTCTGCTGTGGGCATGACATGACTGTAAATGCTATTTTTTCTGCTTCTATTTGCTTGGAACTCCTTCAGGCATAGTAAATGGGCTACTAGTATGACAAATGATTGTAGAAAGGGTTAGGAGAGTATAAAGGAGAATGCTAACATACCCAAATGAAAAATTAGGGATGAGAATACAGGAACTAGAGAATGTAAGGAATAGTAGTCAAATTGTCAGCATTAATGTTCTGAAACTTTCTTTTGAAGGGAAGTGGAAGGGAAGAATGAATTACGTTTTTAGAGTAACGCTTTTGCCATGTATCATTTTTGAGAGAATGACTACAGTCTGAATAAACTAAGATTCCCTTTTGGTGGGCCAAAGAGGACAGCAGCTTTATTTTTAAGCTTAACAGTAAATTGATCATCTTCTCTAAGTATCATTCAAGGTTAACATTTTTAGCAATCCCTCCTCAATCAAAACCAAAATATCTAATTTCAAGAGAGAGTTTGAAGAGCTTTTAAAACTATGAAATACCAGTATTGCCTCTGCTTTCAGAATATGACAGAACAGTTGCTAAACTATAAAACTGTATCACAGACTAAACTAGACTTTTGGAGCCTACCTTCCTCCGATGGGATGGCACAATAAAAAATGTTTCAATATTATGCTTCTTCAAGAAACTATTCCTTTCATGGCCATATCCTGGTTCTACCTCGTAGTCCCCATTTAGGCACTCTAAGGTGGTCTTTGTTATGTGAACTTTCCTGGAGAGAAAAATTAGGTGTTGTCATTGAAAGCAAAGATACATTATGAGCTAGTTGCTGCTGAAATACACTCCTGTGCAGAAGATTATCACAGGGTCAAACTACAAGCAAAAATTATTTTTTTATTGTAGAGCAGATCTGTGTTCTTAGCCAACCAGAAAACAGAAGTATTTTTATTATACACATTTCCTAAACTTAAGCAGATGCTTTGAGCAAAGATTTATAACTGCTGGCTGTCCAAAAACTTGCAGAATTGTTGATTTGTAAACAGTGCAGGCCTGCACATCATCTTCCATATTTAGGAGCTTTTCTTAAGTGTTTACCTAGCTGCCTACTAGGTATAACAGCCTGCTGTTTGAAACTTGTGACTTCACACTCTCAATCTCTGCGTTCTTTTTCCGCTGCATAAAGGAAAAACTTCTTGTTCTTCTCTCTGTTCCACTTCACAGCTCTGACTTGTGTTATTTATTCATTCATTTTTTTGGCTCTCTAATCCACTGTGTTATGGCAGCACAGCCATCTTTGATACTATTCATGAGTTTCCTTATCCCAAAAACTGTCTTCATACTTTCTCCTGCAAGACGCCTTATACAGGAAACTTCTTCTGAGAAGATATATGAAAAGCTGTTACTGCTTTCCTCTATTAAACATGTGTTCAGATTATTTTCACTGGGAATCCTTAAAGTAAGGAACATACAAAAATACACTGCCAAAATTGTCTGAGACATATGTATGTGTAACAAAGTCACTCATCTAAATGAAAAAAATTAAGAGGTTCCATTGTCCTCCTGCTCAGCAGAACATAATCTTGTAAAAATTTAAAACTGAGTTGCACACAAAAGCACACCTACGTACCTGTGCAAAAGTGCACTGTGTGCATCTAAATGGTGCCCAAAGAGTACTTAAAATCCCAAGACATGCCTCATGGAATGACTACAAATTTATGCATTAATGTACACTGCATGTACATACACCTTGAATATTTGAGTGTATGTGTGAGCGTGCATTCAAATATATACATACATACACACATATACATATATATTTGTATATATAGAATGCATTAACAGGTGCTTTCTTGCTATAGCACACAATTAGTTTTGGAAATCTCATCTTGTGAAAGGAATAAGTCACACACTCCACATGCTTAGAGCTGCAACCTAGGCTCTAGGGAGCATCTAGAGAGTTTTACTTTCATGAGATTTTCTGAGGAAGGTTTAGCACTGCCTGGTTCCTACTCTTTAAATTTGGCAGCTTCAAACAAGGAGTTTGTTTGGAGAAGGTTTATGCATTAAGAGAACTTTTAAAAGAAATAATTTACATCTATTCTAATCTATTACTAACAGAAATCTCAAGATCAGTTGGAGAATCCCACAGGAGACACCACATAACACAGTGATAGCTTTTACCTGAGATAGCCCTTCTTATCAATTGCAATTAAATTGCAAAATGCTTCAGAGAACAAAATAACTCCTTCACCCATACAGGTCTACAGTTCTTCCTCAGACTTACCCAGGCAATCCTCCAGCTTCCATTACATTGGCTAAAGTCACGTCATTTGACCAGACGTCGTATTGCCATTTCCGTAGACCCAGGACCCCACAAAGCACCCTGCCTGTATGTAATCCAACTCGCATGTTGAGATCCACCTCTGTGGCTTCTGCAACAGATCTGCAAGAGATAGCATCAGGATATTAGTTTTCAGGTAGAGATTGCTCTTCATTTTCTTTCTCTCTCTTTCTCCAAAAGTTAACACATAAAAACATAACTGAAAAGAAAGGCTCTTTTAAAAATCTCTGATGAATGACTTATCTAGGTTCTGTTCTTCTCCTTCGCTCCTAGGGTAGTTTCAAAGCCCCAGTTGTACCTCTAAAGAAATAATTTTGTTGGTCTTATTTTAAGCGCTGTTGAACCAAAATCTCATTATTCCTTAATTTCTTGGCTCAATTGTGTTATGATTTTACCTTCCAAATTTCAAGGAAACTCAGTAAAAGTCAGTTAAAGATATTATGTTTCTCTTCATTTAATCCAGAAAAAAAGTGACAACAAAGCAAGAGTGGTAAATAGCTTTGCCATGAAACTTCATTGAGACTATAACTTTGGGGTTTTTATTTGCCCCTTTTTCAGTATTTGCTATCAAGCTCCTACAGAAACTTAGATATTTTATTGTGGGGCAAACAAAGAACTTTCTAGTTGTAGCTCAAATACCTCAAGAGACAGCCAAGTTAACTTCTGCACTTTCCTGTTTATCTTGTCTCACACTTATTTACTTTTTTTTCCCCCGTCATAAATGTTTCTTTTTCTCAATGCTTATTTATCTTAGGCAGGATCAGAAGTAACCACAAGGTGATTGCTGGAATCAAAAGATTTTTAAAGCTATCTTCTTGGGTTTAATTTTAACCTGACATGTAAGAAAGAAGACATGTTTCAGTTTTCTCATTACTAAGGACTGCTTTCAGCTCAGCATTAAAACGGACTATATGACTTTTTTTTTAATTTTTTCAAACCAAAAACATATATCTGTTTATACGTCTCTTTACTATGCTTTTTGTTTTATTGGCTGGTGGATTTTTCTCTCAAGTCCTTTTTACTACCTACACTTCATTCATATAAGGACCGTGCTTGATACTATATGGGTAAAATGAATTTCATCACGTACGGGTTTAATATTAAACACTAAGGAAAAGATTGGTGTTGTGAGTAAAATCTAAACTTGAGTCACATAAAAAAGGAAAGAAACTGAAAGTCTTATCTACCACAGTGTGACTCAGGTCAAGTCTCTTTTTTTCAAGTGTCTCAAATTATCAATCATCTCGGAAGGTACTTATTTAACAATCCATGGCATTTTTCACCTGATCTTTATGCTACTGCCTAGGAGCTGTTATAACTATTAGTAAACACATGGAGTTGTATTGTGCCTTTACCTTTACAGTATGCTTACAGCTAAAGGCACAGACTTACACTTTACCACTTTTAACGGTTTCCGCAAGAAAACAGGTAGGCACTAGTCAAGAAGGTAAATGAAAAAGCAGTGACTGCACTTCACCATGCTCTAGATAGCTCAGTTACCCTGTTATGGGAGTATAAGACAAACAAAAGGATGAAATCACTATATCACTTATGATGTATCAGTGCAAGAACAGTAGATAAGGAGTTATTATAAACACTAATATATTTCAAATGCTCCTGCAAGCGCGGCCCAACAATCACCTGTAGTTTTGGATCTGCACCTGTAAATTACACCTAATCTTCAGAAATTTTCATTGTATATCTGGGAAAGGAGGAATTAATTTGCAAAGTCACTGTTATAGGCATTTTTAATTTTGGTGCCACATTGAGGAAGAAATCTTTACCTCCTTGAACAGAGAACAAGCTATAACTCTCACCCTACACTGATTTGTGGACTCTTAAAAGGAGCCTTGAAGCTAATAATCTTACACAGTACATATAAAGATAACACTGTGCATAAGTCTTTGCAGCTTTTTCTCTTACAGAGGAACCTGGCAGCAAATCCACAGCTAAGTTGCATTCCAGAAAGAAATAAAATGGGGGATGAAAAACACTAGCTAATCAGTGTAAGATTTAATTTTCTGTAGGGCTTTTAGATTTACTTTCTCTAATGCATTTCAGAGGAGAAGATCTTAAACTGAGGCTCTGGCTATAATTTTCCCTTGGCTTTCATTGACTAATATCTTTCAAAAAATATCATCCTGCTACCCTGGATTTGGCAGAGAAGTCTTGGAGAGAACTCTGCAACTATTCCAGAGGTATTTATTGTATTTTCTCTGTTGTACAATGTACTTGTTTAAATATAATTAAATAAAAAGGCACACGTGGCACAGGTCAAGATGTGCGGTGAGCTGAATGAGATTCCTGGTCTCACTTTAAGTAGGGAGCTCTGCAGCCATGAAATGGAGAAGTACATACCATGTCAGCCATCATGAATGTGAAGAACATGGAAATCTCTTTTGTTCCCATTGGGAATCTGAGCCCACCAGATTTTTTTCCGGTCATAATTTATGCAACAGCAGAGAGGCTTATACATGGCTTTCTAAAAGATTAAACATTTCCTTGTCCTCTTTCTACCCACTGTACGTCTGCCTTCCTTTCTCTTTTCAGGATCTGCTTCCAGCTAAGCCTTAGAAAGGTCTCCAAACTGTCCTAAAAACATCTCTACCTGTGAGCTGTTGCAAAGGTTGTTGTGTACACAGGATCCTTGACAAAGCTTCAAAGAAAAGAAAGGAGCTAATAATATATGCCACCTGACAGTAACTTAACCTTGGCATCTTCACATGCGCACATGTATTTTACCCTTAGCAGACTTACCTTATACCAAGACCAAACCCTGCAGTCTGCAAGCCAAAGCATTTCAGGGTTAGCGCCTTGTTGCTTATCTGTATTTTATTACGTAACTAAGTAGCTATGTAATTATCTTCACTGACGTACCTGCAGATGCCTGAGTATAGGCCTTTCTCTATTCATAAACTAAAGTTAAAAAAAAAAAAACCTTTTCATTTTAAAAAGTACATAAAAATTCAGGTAAAGGCATCTGGAACGAAAATGAAATTCAAACACTGGTGAAGAACTCAAGACCGAAGTACTCAAGACCGTTCTTTGTTCCAGCTGATTCCAGAGGTTTGGGGGTGAGGGGAAGTTGATGCGGTTTTAGACGTATGACTATCTTAATAGAAATTAAAGAAAAAGAAACATGAAAAATACAACATGACTGATCATATTACTTGTTAAAAACGCTGGACTGTCTAATGTACCAATAAATGATGAAGTAGAATGGGAAAACATTTTGTTTTGAATAAGGCATTTTTAAAAGTTATCAGTTAGTAAAAAAATCTAAATTGATAATACATTTCTCCATTTTTCCCAGAAGCTTCAAAATGTTTCAGTGATGTTTTCATTATTATTATATTTAGAGTAGCAAAAAGCTCACAAAGAGTTCACTAAACTTTTTGAATGTACTTTGAATATTTGTGTGCCCTGTATGCAACTGGTTTCCACGAATTCTTCTACTGAAGAATGAAAAATGAGCAATATCAAAAGAATGGGCTCCCAAATATAAAATTAGAACACTTCAATCTAGTATCGCAATTATATTTCCAACGAAAATCAAAATTTCGTTATGAAAATATCACAAAAGCATATAGCGAGACACTTTAATTACAAACACATTTATGAAAAAATAGCAGACAAGCCATGAATAGAAAAAAAAAAAGAAGTTTCTCAAATTATTCATTGCAAATTATTCACTCCTAAGCTCAAATATTATATGCTCAAAATTTTTGCAAATGTTGACATAACACTAGGCCCAGAAACAAATGGATATTGAAAAATAGCTTCTTTTAAAACTAGAAGTATGTTGAGTCCATGTAAATGACTTACAGGAAGAAAACCATCTACCCTGACAACTCAAGTCTCCTAACTAGCTTTAAAATTTTAGATCCTCTACTTAGCAACAAATATTTTACGTGCTGCTACAAACTATCAAAGTCATTTAGATAAGCTGCTGAACAGCTATGTGATGCAAATACACTTCAGCAGACCTGTGCTGAAACTGAAGCAATGGAAGATAAAAATAAAAGCTCAGTATCCCATTTCTCATAAGTTATTTAGGGCTCTTTTTTGATCCAAAAATATCTGTGTAGAAGTAGATGTTTCCTGATAAAAGCATAGACCAGCTTTTCCATTCATTTAAATACATTTGCTTTTTATGTATGCAAAATTCTAAGCGATAATAGTGCCCCTTATCATAAGGAATTTCGTCCATCTCCCTAAATACTGCTCTGACAGTTCACAGAACGGCCAAGGTTGGAAGGGACCTCTGGAGACCATCTAGTCCAACCTCCCTGCTCAAGCAGGGTCCTCTAGAGCATATTGCCCAGGATCACATCCAGACGGGTTCTGAATATCTCCAGCGAAGGAGACTCCACTACCTCTCTGGCCAACCTGTTCCAATGCTCTCACCCTCACAGTGAAGAAGTTTCTCCTCAGGTTTAGGTGGAACTTCCTGTGGTTCAGTTTGTGCCCGTTGCCTCTTGTCCTGTTGCTGGGCACCACGGAGAAGAGACTGGCCTCATCCTCTTGACAGCCCCCCTTCCGATACTTGTACACGTTGATCAAATCACCTCTCAGTCTTCTCTTCTCCAGGCTGAACAGGCCCAGCTCTTGCAGCCTTTCTTCAGAGGAGAGATACTCCAGGCCCCTCATCATCTTTGTAGCCCTCCGCTGGGCTCTCTCCAGGAGTGCCATGTCTCTCTTGTACTGGGGAGCCCAGAACTGGACACAGGACTCCAGGTGAGGCCTCCCCAGGGCTGAGCAGAGGGGCAGGATCACCTCCCTCCACCTGCTGGCAACACTCTGCCTAATGCACCCCAGGATCCCACTGGCCTTCTTGGCCACCAGGGCACACTGCTGGCTCATGTTTAACTTGTTGTCCACCAGGACTAGGTCCTTCTCTGCAGAGCTGCTCTGCAGCAGGTCAACCCCCAGCCTGTACTGCTGCTAGTATCATCAGCAAACTTGCTGAGGGTGCACTCTGTCCCTTCCTCAAGGTCATTGAGGAATATATTGAACAAGACTGGACCCAGGACTGACCCCTGGGGGACACCACTAGCCACAGGCCTCCAACTTAACTCTGTGCCATTCACCACAACCCTCTG